GCAAGTATTCCAAAACGGACTTTCTGGCTGTTTAGATAGGAAGGTAGACTTTCGCATTTTGGACGCACTTTTGGAAATCACTATGGTAACAAGAAGGTTCGAGACTTGAAGGATAAAAGGGAATTTGTCGCCAAAATAAACGATATTGCCACTCTAAAGAATTCTGCGAAATGAGAAAATAGCTGTCAAAGAGAAAAATAATATTTGAAAGCAAGCGATAAACAGTATGCTTCGTACTGTTTGCGGTCTACACGTGCGGGATCTGGTATGCGGCCTCACGCACGAGGATTTTCAAGCACATGAAGGCGGTTAGTGAAGAGTAATGAGCTTAATGTGAACACCTCTAATACTTTTCGTAAAATTAAATGCGACCCTATAATTTTAGCCGTCAAATTTGACAACTTCAAAGTTTACGAAATGTTCCGGCGAGAAGAAGAAGAACACCGCGCTTAAAAATTACTCACAATCGTATGGAATTTTCCCATCACAGCATTGTGAGTTTTTTGTTTTGGTTTGCAACGAAATTTCTAAAAATACTTAATTTTTCAGGTTAAAATTTTTTGTTTGGTAAACAGTTTGTGCGTATTTGTAAATTTATAGTGAAAATCCACACAATCAACAAGAGTGTTCCATTATAAGAGACGGGAAAAATGGCATATGGGCGTAGCGCCAGAATGCGCAACGCCAATACTGGTGTGGCACACGCCACTACCTCTAAGGTTAGTCATTTTTACAAAATTGGTAATTTTCAAATACATGTAATAAAACGATTCATTTAATTACAATTACAGGTAATGCCTCATGGCGAATTCATTGATCGCATACGCAAATCGCTTTACTTTGGCGGCGGCGCATTGGTGGAGGAAATGCAAGTGTCACGTCCACTTGCTGAATATGCATCGGAACTATTTTCTGCACCGCACAAGGGACACTCATTGAATCGTTTAAATACAGTAGCGGCTGGTAGTGTACATGCCTCTCCCTGTTCACTCATTATGGCATTGATATATTTAGATCGGCTGAATGTAACAGATCCGGGCTATGTACGACGCATAACTCCACAGGAACTTTTTATTGTATCGATGGTATGTACATATGTATGTATATAGTAGGTACGTAGTAGATTCGCTTGTGCACATAGAGAAGTAATACATACATATGTGTGCCATTTCATGCATGCACTTTTTTGTCCATCAATTAGAAGTATGAGTCATTACGCAATCCAAGTTGGAAACCTGTTGACTAGTTACTGTATATTAGTTCTATTGCTTTGACCGTCATAGTCAGATTTGTAGTTAAATGTACGAATTCTGTTATTGAGTACGAATAGGTAAAAACTTGGGTAATGATTTGAGTTATATGTTGTTGTTGTTGTTTTTGTAGTGGCACTCCTATGCCCCGCCTAAATCTGTTTGCCCAGCGATCGTTTTCGTCAAACTCAACTAACGGTAGGCAAAGGAAACGTACTATTTTGGTGAGGTTGCACCAGAGGGAGTGGGTGTTAGCTGAATAGAGTTGAGTTTTCATGTGTTGTGCGGGAGTCTTGATAGGTAGGGGTTTAACCTACTACAGACCAGACCAGACCGTGACTGGGCCAGAGTAACGCAGATCTCACGTGGGAGCTAAAGGTAATTGTCTGTGGTAGATGGAGATTGAACTCCTATCACTGTCGTTATGGGGCGAGAAGAACGTGCTTGGGTGGAGGCTCCTTCTCAAGCAAGCGCCTGCTCAGGTGCTCGCGTCTGTAGCACCCTACTAAAAACTGCTTGCTGAACATGATGTGCTCCCTTACCGGGAGTATATGAAGTTCACCCTGTGCATGTTTGTTGCGGCTATCTATATATTTTATTGACTATTGAGGTTGTGTGCGCGGATAAGAGCAGGCTATCAAAGGTAACCCCAAAATTTTCGAGTTCACCTAATTGAAGTGAGGCAATTTATTTAAAATTGTGATTGCCAAATAGCAAACAACGTGCATCTATGTGTGTATGTCCATAAGTATGTATATTAGACTGCATCACCAATAAAGCATGCGGGTTTTCCGCCGGGATTACAAAACCTATTATATTTTAAAACGTCCACCAAAATATTTCGGAAAAATATTAAGATTTAAGCGAGCTGGACCGATTTGAAAATACCTCCAAAAATGGAGGTTTTATTAATAAAAATAGTTTTTTAAAGAACTTTTTGAAAAAAGTCTCCTCACATGACAAAACAGATTAGTATTAAAAAAGCTGTATCAAAATATTTAAAAATCTTTTCAGCTTTTTTACTTTTTTCAAAGCTTGATTTACGAAAACTTAAATAACTGGGCCAAAACTATTCTCTTTTAGACTTATGGGATCTTGGTAGAAAGGTTTTTTTCCATTCGTGTCCCAAATTTTGTTTTTTCAAATACCAACCCATCTTCATTCAACTTTGAATGATGTTCGTTCATCCTACCGTTCTCTTTCATCCTTTGAATGAGCTTATTAGCAAAGAACTAGAAAGGGTGAGAAAATACCTTTCCAATAATACCTAACAAGTCTAATATGAAGAGTTTAAGTTCAATTTTCCAAGCTTTTCTTATACCAATCTTTGAAAAAAGTTAAAAAACAGCATCAAAAACCTCATTATTACGATTCCGTTCAAAATTTTTTTATATATTTTTTTAAATATTTTTATGTAAATTTTTTAAGCTTAAATCGTTTTGTCATTTGAAGGGATTTTTTCAAAAAACATCTTTAAGAAACTATTTATATTCATAAAAAACTCCATTTTTCATAATAGTTTTTCGAAATATTTTGGTGGACGTCTTAAAATATAATAGATTTTATAATTTCAATGGAAAAGCAGTACCGATTTTTTTTTTTGTATGGGGAGTGATGCAGTCTAATGTATTTGTGTATGAATGTTCGAAGGAATGGCAAATAGCAAGTAGAACATTGAACAATCACCTAACTTTAACTATTTTAATTATAAGCTCATTTGTTGTTCGGTAATACATAATATTTGCATATTACAGATGATATCGACGAAATTCTATGCTGGCTATGATGAGGAAATCTATTTGAGCGATTGGGCTGAGGATGGGCATTTGACTGAGAAAAAATTAAAGAAGTTAGAATTGGAATTTCTGTGTGCTATAGTAAGTATTAATAAAGTGAATTAGGTTGGCAGATTTCCTAATATACTGCCGCATTTTTCTCTGCAGGATTGGAATATATACATATCGAAGGAAGTATTTTTTGAGAAATTAAGCGGCATTGAGAAGCAACTCGCTCGACGTGAAGGTTTACGTCGTGGCTGGCTAACCTACACTGAGCTGATACAAATGCTACCCTCCTTTACATTAGCCAAGTTTATACTAAATAATATTGCTGTGATGGCAGTCAGTTATGCCGCAAGTGTAATAACCATAGCTGGTGCCTTCTTTTTGGCCAGTCAAATTCCAGGCACCGCACTACATCGGAAAACTATATCTGCAGTAATTAGTGGTCAGATCGCAGTTCAACAATCGACACCTATTGTTGACTATCGGGCTACTCTGCTGGATGCTCAACCACGTCTACGCCGCACAAATGGGATCGAAATATCGAAATCGGCTGCAATTCCTACAACTACAACAATCGGCGAAGGAACTGTACACAATGCTACCTGCACAGCTTTAAATGTTGAAGCAGAACTTTTGAAACTCGAATGTCAGTATAGAGCAGAAGAAAAACAGGAGGCAGTACGTCGCCGTCAACATGAGATTGATAGTTCAACACGCTTGACATTGCCGGATGCAGTGCAACGTATTGCTGGAGGAAATAAGAAATCAAAGAATGCCTGGTACACTACTCGTTTTGGTATAGACTTGGTACGAAATTGGTTTGCGCTCAAAGTTAAGTATACGGATGGCAGGCTTGACGATTGGTTACAATCATTGGATGATTTGCAGTCCCCTCGAAAGCAAGAAAAGAAAAAGCAGCATGAGATTATGATGGATTGGAATGCTTGGAGCTTAGGCAACTACACAACTTCAATATTCTGGCAGCTGCTCAGTGATAACGCTCAACAATCGCTTGTGCGTTTGCCATCAATGTGGATTAAATTTATTTAGTATATGTTGACATTCTTTACACAGCTGAGTTGCTACGCACATATGTATGTACAACACATTGAATCTATAAATGTGTAATTTTCGAGCAGAGTTTTTATGGTAATTCCACTTAATTTTATTAACTATAATGCAAAATTACTAGGCATTGGAAGCACTAATTTTAAATTAACATTTTATATCAGATTGAATCAATATTTTATATAAATGACATCATATTATTTACAATTTCAGTTAATACAAAAAACTGCGATTTTTTTCACTACCACTTGAGTTATCGCAAAACGCGGATATAATCAAATATATCTGTCTAAAACACTTTAAATCAATTAATTTATTTTTTTTCGGATTTTCAGCTACTATAATAACAAAATAAATGTTCCTTGATTTACTAGTTCTTACTAAATTATTAATTTTTCAATAGAATCATTGAAATCCTAATAGTCGAATGTGTTAAAATGAAAGTAAAATTATTTTTTTATGAAGCCGAAGAGATGGAATATTGCAAAAATTATGTCTTAACATAAGCAATTAAACTTATAATACATACTTATAAAGCATACATAAATAGTGCACAAATACGAAATCTTCTTAGATAGAAGTGTAATAAAATTAATGCTTAACAATTTAAATTTTTTTTAGGTAAAGAAAGAATTTGCAAGGCAAGTAACGAATAAAATGTTAATAAAAATGCATGCGTATATTTTAATAAAACAGCGTAAAATGAAACTGCTTAAAAGAGATTAAAATTTCTTTAAACGGAATGAAGGCGAATAAACCGTTGAATTAATGATTTTAATTATTTGAATTTTATATGGGAATTGACATAAAACAAAAGATGCCATTTAAATTGCTGATGAAACCGGCTGTAAATGAATAAAGATAAAAATGCTATTGAGTCTCAGACACTCGGATTTTTTATCCGGATATGATCTGAATGAAAAATTCAAATATCCGGGTAGCCGAATATCCAGATAACAAAATGAACGGATATTAACCGGACATCCGTATTTTATGCGTATGAACTAATATCCGAAAGGATGGTCATCCGAATATACAGTTAGTCCCAGCCCTAATGTATGTTCAAAGTATGCTGCGTTGTTATCTTTCATTTCCTTTTTTCCTTTTTTATATTCGGGGGTAATCTAGTTTCCTAGCACAAATTTAGCAGTTCAAAAACTTACCGCAATTATGCATAGCCGCTTCTGTGATCTGATACTGCCATTTTGAATGGCAAAAATGCATCTCAACGCGATTGATTTCACTTTTCTAAAAGGAATTTTCACTTGAATAATAGAAAAACCCAAATAATATTTCCAAGGGCTTCCTTCACACTTTCAACAATAAACATGTATAATATATAACTTGACCTGCAAGGATTCTCCATTATTTTACTTTGATACTTTGCACTTCACTAACCGCGCGCACAAATTGCGCGTTATGAAATAAGGACGCTTACACTTATTTAGCTTTGAAAATACTGATAAAAATTTGCTACGCACAATATTTTTACTATGCATTGGCTACAAAACATTTATTTCACTGAATATCGAATTTTAAACCACGGAATTGCAGTCGAGTTCACGTATTTTAATTAAAATAAATCTCTTCTGAGCCGCAAATGAAAGGAAACACGAATTCCGTTATGGACTTCCGTTTGACGCAGAGCTGCCAGATTGTTGGTTGCCTAATTACATTACCGGCCGTCTTCACATGCTTGAAAACCTCGCTCGCGTTCTGCTGTTTTCTCTCGCAAGCGTGATAGAGTTTTGTTGACTTGGCATTTGACAGCATAATTTTTCATTTGTAAAATGTCGCAAAAAAAAAAGTTTCGAGCTTTTCAGGCCAAATTTAGTATGTTAGAAAAAGTATGTTTCGTACTTTTTGCGTTCTACACGTGCGGGAGCTCGCATGTGTCGTCACACAAGCGAGATTTTCCAGCACGGGAAGACGGCCGGTTAATTACATTTGTTTATTGAGAACTTCAACTGAAGTTAACTTTATTTATGCCAAACAACTAATATGGAGTTTAAAAAAATTCTTAGTACATATCGTCGTCTGGGTAAAAGATTGTCGTATGATAATTTCGGCAGGTTGTGGGAAATCGCGATTGAAGTTTGGAATGCAATTTCTCAAATTTTAAATGTTTATTGTAAATTAGTTTTGAGTTTATGAAGGATTTTCTTTAGTCAAATTTTGTCGTAAGCGCCATTTGTCCACAATATGGCAGCCACTTTGTATGAAATACGACAAAATGTGATCAAAGTTTCTACTAAATTAACGACACTTTTTACTCAAAATCTGGGAAACTAAAGCAGATATACTAAAATGGAGAACACCATTTCTAAGACATTGATTAGTTTAATATGACTGCATCACTAACTAAATTTTTACAAAATTATCGAAAAAATTGTAGTCAATATCTCGGAAACTAAAGGAGATATCTAAAAACTGATCACAAAAATCGAAAGACTTTTCTCAAAATATATAACTGCATCTAGAACTAAAAATCGTCAAAATTGCGCTTACGACCAGGATATATACATATATGTATGTACATATATATTTCCTTAATTTTTTTAAATACACAATTGCTTTACAAAGTTAATGCAGACTATACACGAGGCAACCGTTGAAGCAAGCAGGGCATGTTGCTTCGAGAGATGCCTCGTGTGTAGCATGGTTGGTCATAGAATTGTCGTGTCGGTAGCCTCGTGTGTATCGTTGTGCATGAACCAATTAGAACAGATCTGACCGGTTGAGAGACAGCCACTTGCAATAGCATTTGAGAAGAAAGAGCGTGATGTCAGCCAGAAAATTGCTTTTTTCTTTTGCTTCATCTTGTCAGATTTTGTGTAGTTGGATCATTATCGTTTTGTATTGAGTTTATTGGCTTAATTCATTGAAAACAGTTGAGCTGAAAAGAGGTTTTTATAGAAAACAAAGTTTTTTTCTGTATATTCATTTCAGAACAGGGGGGAGATTCTATAACCAGTTAGCGACAATTTTCGAATCGATATCGCACTTTGTGACGCAAAAACATTTACATTTTATCGTCAAAAAGTGTAAAAGCGATCCGAAAATTGTCGCTAACTGGTTACAGAATCTCCCTCCAGATCACACACTACTGAGGTTGCCGAAATGGTTGCCCCCAAGCATAGCGGAATTATTTATTGCGTCATGGCCCCCAAGGTGATTAATACATTTTGGTTGCCATTACGATTGCCTCACGTGTATAGAACACGAAAAACAGGTTGCCTCAACCCGTTGCTTCAACGGTTGCCCCATGTGTAGTCAGCATAAGGTTCCGAACAACATGGTATTTTGATTGACATTCACGTGTTTGTTGTCAATTTTGTTTTGTTCAGCAAGTGTTTTGTGTTTTCATCCATCCGGCTTTTTGGTTTTCTGTGAGCCTCCTACTTGATCCCACAAATAATTCAACCTGGTTTATTAAAGGATCATGACGAAATCCACGGCTATAGAGATGCCGAAAATTCAGCTCGGAGACTACATTGTAATCCAGCGTCAAAAATACACGAAACTGCAGAAGTTCGGCAGTCTGGATGCCACTTCCATGCTGGGAAAGGAGCAACTGGAGTTGCGAGCTCTATTGGACCAGCCATATAGTGCTACTTTTAAAATGTGTCCCAAGGAGACTACACCATCCTCGCAGCGTGGTCAACGCAACCAGCGTCTGCACACCTTGGAATTGTGTAATGAATTGGAACTGCGTGATATCCGCGAAAGTTTGGGTATTTCGGCGAGTGGTGCTGATAACCGCAACATAATTGACGATGGCGACTCGCAAGCTTTGCGTCCAGAAGATATTGAACAGTTGCGTGAAGAACACAGTGAATCCAAAAAGATTATTGAGAAAATAGTTGAAAACTCGAAGACATTTCACTCGAAAACGGAGTACTCACAGGAAAAGTATTTGCGAAAAAAGGAGAAAAAATACTTTGAATTTGTGCAGATACGCCGACCAACATTGCGGCTTATCACCGAAATTTACTATCGACAGGATGCTGACAAAGTGATGGGCATGCGATTAGATACACTCTCACAGCTAATTTCCTATTCGGGTGTTAGCGCGTATGGCAATTATTTGTTATATGAAAGTGGCACAAACGGCCTACTGCCGGCCAGCTTTCTAAATTCAATTGGTGCTGACACTGAAGCGACACTGGTGCATATGCATCCCGGCAATGTGCCACAAAAGCAGGCCATGTTGGCGCTGAATTTACCACATGAGCAGCTTCAGCGCTGCATCTCTGTAAATCTGTATTCGGTGCTGCGCGAGTACTACCAAGGAGAAGAACAGGAGCTGCCAGAAGCTGCTGCGGAACCAGGCACTCCCGCCGAGGAAACAGAACCTAGCAGTAAGAAGCAGAAGTTATGTGAAGGGGAGGAGGGTAAGAGACCACGCAGTTTTACGGAAAATAAATGTGAAATGATGAGTGATCAATGTTTCTTTTTCTTTTAGGTTCGTTGACGGTTTCATCTACAAGTAGCGAGGGTAAAGGCGAAATCACAGCGACGAACAAATCAGAAGCAACTAGTACAGCGGCGCCTGTACAGAAATGGCAAGTGGAAAATCAGCGCGCTTGCGAGCTTATTCGTGCCAAATTCGATTCGCTGGTGATTGCTGCAAAAGAACATCCTAGCAATATCGTGCAAGCTTTATTACCGTTTGTAAAACCATCTCGACCAATTGTCTTGTACAGCCAAAGTAAGGAGCTATTAATGGATTTATACGTGGAGTTGAAAAGCTGCTCGAATGTGACCAATTTGCATTTGACTTCAAATTGGCTGCGCTATTATCAAATACTACCCAATCGCACGCATCCGGAAGTCAACATGAATGGTAATAGCGGTTATCTACTGACCGGTTATACTATAGCTTAGTATATTTTAGTAGTTATTTTATGCACATTTAATAAATTTCTGACGAGTATATATACATATGTATATAAATGTAAGTTAACTGTCGCAAGTCTTAAATTGGCTTTATTTGCTTCAATTGGAAATAGTATCCACATTCGCATCGTTTGGGTTCACCCTTCTCCAACCACATCCAATTCACAAAGCGATTACCCTTACCTATGCGTAAATAATTGTAAGACCATTAATTTTGTTTTCGAAAAATTGTGATAACAATTTTTTCAACTCACAGGAGCAGCCCACAATGCGTCCGTCGAACGCAGATGGTATCATATTTGGTTGCTCCCTGGTGCCGGGTCCGCGTTTTAAGACCGTATCAAGCAGCCAAGGATCTTTATTACCAGCCTTCAATTGTTCCAATTCGCGTTTCTCGATACCAGTGGCATGATCCATAGGATCGTTCATAACTTAAGTGCAAATGAAAAAAGTTTATTGCAAAAATAGTATGGTTATGTGCAGACTACATACCCGCCAAATATACTTTACTATTGCAAAAGCAGCGCCCTGTTACTTTAGTATTACTGCAGATATTTTTAATAAGAGCCTTTGATGAAGCAGAGACACAGTCGTATAGCATTGAAGTCATGTTGAAATGTTTTTTTTTGCGATTTCGCTTTCCTACGGAATAATTTAATTATTATTTTTTGATGTTAAATGCAAGTAAATTTATATTTCATTTGATATTTTTTTTTACTTGTTACTTGTGTTCATACTTTTAAGGAATCTTATTGCGTTTAGCGTATATTCCAGGAAATTTTGAAAACCTGGTCAGTACGCAGTCCTTCCTTCAGTGGGAGAAATTACAAACTTTCTCACTTACAAACATTTATTTATCATTCTAAAGTCAACACTTTTTAATAAATCAAATTATAAGATTTTATTTATTCATTTTTATCTCAGCAGTGTTTTAATTATTGCTATAATAATTGCATTCATATTTCGAATCAGAGCATGCATACTGCACACACGTACATATTTATAACTATGTATGTTTGACTGGCAGCCAAATAAATCTTTTTCCAACTGAAATTTTGTTCATCACCGGGGAAATAATGCCTTGAAAGCGATTCAGTCAGTAGATAATAATTACAGCGAAGGCCGTGTTTTACTTGAAGGAAATCAAAATAAAATAACAAACGAGAAATTTGCGAATAAAACCTGTTGTTGATGGTTTTACTTTTCATTAAATTCACTTAACATTAAATATTACAGTGCTCATTATTTAATTATTAATTATTTTTAATATTATGCCAGTGATGAATTCTCGGCTTCACGAAAGCAGCTTTCAACATAGCATTGCAAATTCTGGCTTAAAGTTTCCTAAGTTTGCCCCTTTATTTCACTACTACTTCAGGGTTGTTGTTGTTTTTGTTGGTTTTGTGAATTTATTTGGTTACTTTTTGCTTAGTAAAATGAAACTTGCAATTATATATAATTTGATTTAGACAGGAGCCTTCTCAACCAATTTGAACCAATGACCGCATTCGCAACGTTTTGATGTGCCCTTTTGCAGCCACATCCATTGCACGTAGGTTTGATCTTCTTCGCCTGGATTGGGAAGTGATGATAAACGGAGTGTTTCCGCGATTTAGCCGCATAAAATGGAATATAAACGTTGAAAAAGGAATTAGCGTATGATATTTTCATTTTCATTTGACTACTTACAGATGCAACCAACAATACGGGCATCAAATGCTGATGGTATCAGGTTGGGGTTTTCTTTGGTGCCAGCGCCACGTTTGAACACTTTCATGTCGAAGGGATTATCGTTGCCAGCGGCCTTGGCTAAAAGTTCACGCTTCTCTATACCGGTGGCATGCTCCATGGGATCATTCATCACTGTAAAGATTAAATTGAGAAGATAGGAGATTATAAGCTTGAGGTGTCAAGGCAAAGGTCTTATTATTAAAAATCAGTATTCTGATGAAGACCCTTTCGGCCTACGAAATTAACTTAAGCACATATATTTGGCCGTTCACCCTAACAGCTGACAGCCGCCCTTCGCTCAGGTACACCGTTTTCCCCTTCCTATACCGTGTAATTGGCAAGAAAAATAAAAGCAATTAACCTGGTACTATTTTATTTATTGTTGTGTATGAAGCAAATAATTTAATCAAAATCGTTATAGGGTAGGAATTTGTGTGGTTATGACGGAGGATATGTTTGTTTGTTCATAGATATTTAAGAAATGAGATTTTAACATAAAAAAAAAAATTAAGAAGGAAAAGAGCATATGATTAAGGTAAAAAGCACAACAGTGAGAGGTTACATAAACAGTCCACCGTCATCGAAAGAACTATTGATGACGACGGGCGGTTGGCAGTGGGCGTCGGCAAATGCATTTTCAGTCAGCTAAACCAAAGTTTCCATATTTTCATAAAAATTTATGCATTCAAATTAAATAGAAAATATTTGCTTGAATGCATATGTATGTACTTCCCCTGTCACATTTTGTTGGCAGTGTGACCGCTAGACGTATGTCAGAAACTTTGATTTTCAATCGTCACTGGTTACATAAACATGAATGGGTCATCTTTGCCATTACAAATTGTGTTATTTCTTAGGCAATTTATTGCAGATTGGCCCAAACAAATACAAATAACTTCATTTTTCACTTATTTTACATTACGTAACAGTCGCTTCCCGACCCCGCTGTTCCTGCACACAAGAGCTCGCTACAATAGAAAAATGCATGTGCGAGCTGTCATATAATTGCCATATGAAACCAGAGAACTTGGGCTTAACCTTCAGAGGCTGGAGTCTTACATGCTTCCTCACAACTAAAAAAATTTCATTACAGTAAAGCATTATGACCAACAGGGGCAGCATTTTATTTAATTTCCATGGGTGATTTTACAAGTTCACTTACTTTTGCAGAAGCGCACTGGAGTGTATTGTAAATTTTGACGTGTCGCCGCACGTAAAGCCATACGTCCACAAGCCGCTGCCATTTTATCTAATTTGTGTTATTTATTTACTGGTTTCTTTAGGAATTTCAGCAAATGTTCGCAAATCGCGATGGCACACAAAAGTTCGATTTTTGACAAAAACTGTGATTTATTTCGTAATTTCCAACACACACACAAGCTCGCTAGCTCGCTCGTTGCTACTTGAAAGGGTGAAAAGTCAAAGTGACAGCTCGATCGTTGGAGTGTTGCCAACAGCGAAATCGCTACAACTCGTTAGTTATTGACAGCTGAAAGATGACAAGTAACCGAACGAGTAAATTAGTAAATTTAGCGATTTTTAGATAACACTGGCACCAAAACTGCTGTTGAGCGACCAAAATGCACTACTGAGGCTCTATTCTGTAACAGTAGCTACACACGACGAGCATATCCGTGCACATGTGCGCCAACATGCTGGCTGTCGTTTGCTACAAACGGCGAGCGGCTCATAAGTGATTTTGTACTCAAAGCGTAAACATGAAAGGAAAGACGCGGATGATGCAATTGAAATACTTATGACTTAGGGTTTTTTATGTATGTGTTACTTAAATTTATTTGTACATACATATACATATAGTAATTTAGCCTCATTTATCAAAAATTCAATTAACGCATATGGCTTGGATGCATTTATCCGCGATGTGCACACTGCAAGCATCAACACAATATGAGGCTGTTGTTTTTGTTTCCAATGCGATGCTCGCAAACGCAATTTTTTTGATTTGTTGCGAGCATGCTCGTGAACCGTCCTACAAACGACAAACATGCACCGCAAGCCGAGCATGTGCGCGCATATGTTCGTCGTGTGCAGCCACTGTTAGGGACCAAATTGCAATTTGAGAGCATCAGGGGAAAAAATACACAAGATTCAAAACTACATTTACTCGTTACAAGCCCATGCTGCCATAGCAATGAAAATATTTAAAGAAATAACTTAATAATAAGATCTGGCATCACCTAATCTATCTGGTTGCTAGGAAACGGAAGTGCGCCACAATAGCCGGTAAGCGAAAATTACGCTTTCACAAGTTATCGCATAATTTTCGGGCATAAAGAATTTGTTAGCATCATAAAAATACCTATAAGATGTCGAAAGGCGTTATTTGCTTTGATATATCCAAAAATGAACGTTTTCAATTGTCGGATAACTATAAAATGCTGCACCGCAAACTGAAAATTCATTGGAAAGTTGAGCAGTAAGTAGTGTGGGAATTAACAAAGGCGAATGTTGGTAAAAGCTTAAAAACTTATTAACAGAAACGATGTGGAGTTGAAGAAGGAAAAGCTACAACGTGTTACTATTTTTGTGTTGGCCGGACCACAAGATCGCTTTACCGAAGAAGAATTTCAGGTGCTGAAAGAATTTGTGGAAAAGGGTGGTCGGCTGTGGGTGATGCTCGGCGAAGGTGGCGAACAGGAATACAATACAAATGTTAATTTCTTTTTGGAACAATACGGCATTTACATTAATAATGGTAAGTGAAGCAGGAAGGGTGAAGATAAAGTAAATGATCTGGCAAAATCCTATAATGCAATTAATGCTTTTTACTTTTTCATCTCTCCAGATACTGTTGTTCGGCCGCACTACTACAAGAACTTTCATCCGAAGGAGTGCATTATCGGCGGCGGCGTAGTTTGTGAGTCCATGTGGCGCCATCTGATCAAGCAAGATGTGGAAATTGTTGATTTTGATTTTAGCGATGAGAAGCATAAAATACATTTTCAATATCCATATGGCGCGACTTTAAATGTTTCTGAGCCAGCGAACATATTGCTCAGCACGGGTCCTGTCGTTTATCCCTTCAATAGGTGAGTGACTTTAAAGGTAAAACGCACTACCATGAAGTGCTAACGCTTCAATTTCTTAGACCCTTGGCTGGCTACTACACCAATGAGCGTGGCGGCAAGATATTGGCTATTGGTTCGGGCTACATGTGGCATGACAAATATTTGTCAAACGATAAGACGAACGACGCACTTCTGGAATGTTTTGTACAACTTTTGGGCGGCAATGAGATACAGTATACGCATTTGGATTTTAATGATGTGGAGGTGAGATTATAGTGTAATTATATTTATTCTCATATGAATTGCTGTTCGTTTACAGATAAACGACAACAAGACCTTCACTGACATCGCATTCATAGCTAATCGCCCAAAAGCGTGTCTTGTTGACTCAATTGGTGGCACACAAACACCAGCAGATTTTAAGCAAATGTTCGACATGACCCTCTACTCGCTGAGTAATCGCCTGCTGAAGGATGTAATGGAAACTTATGAACAATTAAATGTCAAGTATGAGCCATTAAAAATAATTAAACCACAATTTGAGATACCGTTACCGCCGTTGCAACTTGCCGTAAGTGAGAAAAAAAAATTAAACAAATTTATATTCAAGCGCATTGTCTGCTTCTTCTGCATAGACATTTCCGCCAATCTTCAGCGAACCACCTGCGCCGCCACTCGAACTTTACGATTTGGATGATGTATTCAGCGCAGCACGCACACAACTCGCGCAAATGACTAGCAAATGTGTGCAATCCATAACTGCGAAGGATGCACACAAGCCGCTGAATATGCGTGAATTAGAAAATTATATCAAAGAATGCGCGCGCATCACGGGCATCATACACGAGCATCAAGATGTTGCAGCACGTGAGATACTATATATACTTGCGCATCAGATTATTAGCTATAAGCCATATGCAGATGAGTAAGCCGAGCAGAAGAGGAAAATGCAGGAAGAGCAGGTGTAGCATTTCGACTTGAAATAGACAAAACATTTACTAAGTTTTTATTTTCTTTCTTTTTTTCTTTTAAAATTTTCAGTTTTTTTCCATTGCTTGCACTGTGTGAATCAAACTCATATTCAGCCTGTTAAGCGCTCCATTTGAAACCCAAACAAATTCCAACAGCAATGCTTACATTTTAATTTTTTGCACCTAAATCAAGGAGTTGGCACTTTTTTCGTTGATTTTTTGGCTTATTAAGTGTACCTACAGGTAAGTACGCTCATGTTTTTTTTTGCATGCTTCAGTTGAAAGTTGATCGCAGTATGTGTAAACATGCATGGGATTCGAATTCAGTTTGAAATTGTAGGTTTTTTATTGTCTGAAAAAAGTTTATAGGCAGCAGAAGTATTAAAACTTAGCACTTAAATACTTACTTTAAATAAATCTGCATATAAAACTTGGAAATGTGTACAGTGATTTTCGCTCTATAATTCATATTGGCTCAAGGAGTGAAATTTGGAATTTTCCTACTTTTTTCCATAATTTCTTTCGTTTGCTCGTTAATGTCTTTGCTTGGTCGCTCCGCCCAGTATATAGTCTCAGGAGCTAAGAGCCCATTTAAAAGGTTTTCGTTAGAGGCCTTTAATCCCGGATTCCTTTCCCCTTTATTTTTTTTTTTGTATGGAGTGACTCTAACTGAAGATCTCTAACTGAAGGTCTTCCAGAATCATAGTTTAACCGTTAAAGTTGGATTTCTATTTTTCGGATCAAACTTGACGGTTATTTTACGTCTTTTATTTCCATACCATATTATTTTCAGGCGTACTTTTTTATAACATAAATGATTAGAAACGGCCATGAAAATGCAGGCTCCATTATAACCGTTAAAAATGGTGGAAGAATATAAAAATCCTAAGTAAAGATTATTATGGCAAAAAATAAAAAATAAATTAAAAAGTCAGATTTAAGGATTATTTTTGATTGAAAACATGAAATTTAAAAAATAGCGATGTTACAATGATCTAAAAATAAAAATCTTGATATTTAAGGGTTATTTTCGTTCTTTGGTTCATAATAAAAAAAAGGTTTTATTGCTAAATGATAGAAACGTATACATTAGCGTAAATTGTAAATAAAAAAAACGTCCTGGTTAAGCCTTGAAAGCAGCGAACTCCTGGGAACTCCTGGGGATGTGCCAAACGGCCCCAAACAGGTGAGGCAACAATCGATACAGAAATGGCTGTCGATGAGCACCACGGCTGCCACGGATGCTTCAACGATGGCAAAAGATACAGATAAGCTTGTCGACGAACAGAACAGCCTTCGACCTATGCGGCTGTCTGCGGTAGTTCTGGATATTATTCTTGGCAATACCTGCGCTGATGATTTGGTCTTAGGCTGGAGGGTCTCCTTAGAGCCCTCGGTGTCGGATCATGGAATCATACAGTTTTCCCTAGATACATGCACGAATAGATCTCAGATCGCCGAAAAGAGGTCAGGAAATTTTTTAACCGTGCAAAACGTACTGCGAATTGGGACGACTACTTGTCAGCCCTAACCACTTAAAGTGATTCGCGAAGCCAAGAGAAACCGTTTTAGAATATTCTGTGAAGGCATCACCTCCACTTCGAAGGCCGGATTGCACCGAGCGTTAGCACGAGGCACAGGTGAAAACCACAGCAAAGCTTCTGTCCACGAGGTCGACCGTCTAATCGGCTAGAGAATTGTTTGAACCCTATAAGACCCGGCCTAAGAATAAACTGGATCTGCTAATCTCTATTCTAACCTATGCCAGGCGGGAAAGTCTTGCTCTGGCATATCTCCCACATGGAGCATGGAGGAGAGCCTGTGTCAAATTCATATCCAACCTAACATCGTTCGTTCTCAAGGAGATGGAGCCTATCGAGCAGGTAGTTCAACGGGTACAGCGCTATTCCAGTTGTCAACTACCATACGGAATACACTCGAGGCGGTGAAGTAGCACTTTGTGCATTTTAAGACATTGAAGGAGCCTTCGATGAAATTTCGAGGCAGTAGATAGAAGTCTAGAGAAAAGGGATGTAGGTTGACCAGTACTATGTTGCGAACCAGACTGGCAGAGATTGTAGCAGTTAATAAAATAATACAGTTAAGGACAGTAAAAGGTGTCGCACGATGGGTCTTAATAACATCATCCCTTCCAAAACAGCCATTATCCTTTTGACTAGGAGAAGAAACCTTCCAGTCATGCTCCCTATAACTGTATAGAGATAGAAATGTGCATTGAAGTAATATTTAAGGATAAATTTTGACTGCAAGGTTTATGGAAAAGCACGTAACAAAAACCGTGTAAGATTTAATGGTCTGCAGAAGACTGTCTAGCAAATCATGGGGATGAAGTCCCTACATATTTCGGTGGATGTACACAACGATTGTCACGCCAATAGTTATTATATATGGAGCAATGGCATGT